ATAGTTGCGACGACAGCGAAAGAAGAGTATGTCATTGCAGGGCCGTCGAGGGATTGTTTTGCAGCATAATAGTCGAGATTAGCCATGCTGTAAGGGTTAGGGTAGTGGAGAAGATCGTCCACGAGGACGACGTCTGCTTGCTTGACCTCGACTGAGCCGTTCATGCCTGTGTATTCGACGATTATGCCGGCTTCCTCATTGATCGGGAGACGCATTTTCGATGCTTTGTCTGCCCACGTGGGTTTCTTCTGGCGTCCAAACCAGCCATTAAATTCGTTGGTTTCGAGGAAATGCCTTTGGATGAGGGCAGTTGTGAAACCAATGTTGTTGACTTGATTTGCGTACTCGTCGGGATCTGTTGCGTTCCAGATCTCGTATGCCCGGGACGTCTCGTTGTAATCTAGCAACTCCGCAAAGAAATGCGCAATCGAATTTGATATGGGCAGCAGCGTGTCGTTGAAATATTCCCCGTCTCCGGTGATAATCATATGATTGTTGAACGCAAGACTGATGTCGCCGTTGAGATGGTATTCATAGTCGAAGCAGGCCCCCGTGCCAGTACAATTACCATAGCGAGCGCTAGTCCATGGATAGACTGCCCCGCCCGGAGTGAATCGACCAGTCTGGTTCTTGCTAGACGTATAAGCCGTCCCAACGTTACTCTTTGCCTGCTCAAAGTGCTTGACGCGATATTTGATGACGTTCTGCGCATGCTGTGGATGCGAGACTTGAACACCAGGTGCCATCCAAACATCGGCATCCCAGAAAATCATACCGCCATAGCAGTCAGACCCAAGCCCACAAACAGGGATACTGTAGATGTCGAGCTTCGTGTTATTTCCCGCTGCGACTACGGCGTTTGGTCCAACCATGTTCGACAGAAGATAAAATGGGTTCGTCCGTGCCAGAATATGAAGTTCCTTGACATTTGGATCGTTGGGTAGAGAGCCGTTCGGCAGATGATAGTCATCCACGGAGTCGGGGGCCAGAATGGTGCTCCACTCGTCGATATGCGATTGTCGGAGGCTCTGGTAACCCTCTTCTGCACCCGAACGAGAGGCGTTCTTTGCAGTTTCTTGCGGGTTTGGGAAGGCGTCTGTCGATGCAACCCCCACAAACTTGTTCAGCTCGGTAGGGCGAAATGCAGTCAACTCCACTCGCACAGACTGTGCAATGGTCGACACATTGCCTGCACCAAAGGCGCCGTCGTCGACTTGGCTACGGGTGGAAAAGTCAACCCATTCGCTGCCTCGAAGCGTCGAGTAAATGTAAGCTGTCACATCTGTGACATTTCCCGGACTGACGGCAGACCAAATCGACGGCGCATCTGTCTCAAACCTCTTGTCCACAAAGTCCGATCGAACGGCCGCCTCTCCGTCCAAAACGTCATAAACCGTAACATTCACATCCTTGGTCGCCGTCAGTCTCAATCGGACCGCTGCCTTGTTGACAAACAGCTTGTGCACAAACATCTCATACTCGACATCAACCATTGCACCCTCTTCACCCCCGGGCGTCCAATTGTACCGCCAGCCCGCAATCCCAGTCTTGACATTCAGACTCGCCACAAAATCCGACACATGCTTGGAATCCACCGACGCATTCAGCATCTCGCCATTGGCCTCCACCAGCAGCCCACTCCAATGCGGGATCCCCGCCACAAAGCTCTCCCAGCCATACTGATACAACCACGGATAATTCGAGCCATTCGTCCTAGGCTGGGCGTTCCAAAACCCCGCAATGGTAGAGAACCCTTGCCGTCTGCTGAACAGCGGCCACCCGCTAATCACATCGCCGTCGACGGGCTCATCGACCTCGAAAAAGGGTCCCGCGGCTGCGACATTGATGCCAAAGTACCCATTCGCCAGCGTCAGGCGAGACTGGTAATGCCCTTGGTCTAGCTTGTTTGTGGAAAGGGTCCAGTTATCGTCGTCCCATTGTACATGTTTGAATTGGTTGTGCTCACTGCTTGCGCGGACGCCGTGTAGGGTCGTGGTCGTGGTTGCGGCGAGGAGGGTGAGGGCGGCGGTGAGGAGTTGTCGGGGGCTCAGGCTTGGTGGGGACATTACCTTAGGTACCGGTACCACCAGTAGACTGCATGCACTCGATACACAACAAACACACACACACAGCACAGCACAACACAACGCAACGCAACACCGTACTCACAACACACGAGAGACAGGGAGGAAATGCGTGGAGAGAGAAACGATTGCTGGCAAAGAAATAGCAAGCTTAGAGGCTTGCACCCCCAGTCTTAAGAAAGAAAGGTACGGACAGAAGACAACGGTTTCCAGCCTATGCATGCCGATCCATCACACACCACCTCAGCTGCTACGGTGATGGAGGCGCCCTTTCATTGGCTTCTGTTGATGTTTCCTTTCCTTTCTTTTCCTTCGTCCTACACTGTACAAGACGCTTATCCTCCCCTCCAAATCTCATCCCATCATCCATGACCCCATCCAGTCAGCACAGCACTCTCACCGTCTCACATCACTAGCCACCACAACCCCCCCCCCCCCCCGTCTTTCTTTTCTTATGACCATTACTTTGTCGATACGCCAGATACAAGAGAAACTCCTCGAAAACCATGGATTGCCGTAGCCTGGCCTGTTCCCCGGCTCTGGATCGGGGCTCGGCGCAACGGAAGAGCCGCAAGCGAGACTAGGCATGCAGAGAGCGAATCGGGAATGGTGTGGTGTGACGTCAGTTGTCGCCCTAGCGTGGGGATCACGTTACAGGCGTAGAGATGAATTGATGAGACGGGTCGAGTGCGTGTGGAATGGAATGGGGTCAGATGAGAAGACCATGTACTGTACAAAGATGAATCCTACTAACAAGTCAAGTAGACACGCCCTACGTACTCTACTGTACCTACAATAAAGACAACATGCTCCAACAACCCCCCCCCCGACCAAACATTTCCCCTCACCAGCCCCTCACCCGACCATAACCCCAGCAACCCACTCCCCAAAACCCCCTTCCTCCACACTCCTACTAAACGCCACCCAAAACCCCATCTCCTCGCTCACCGGCCTTGCACAATGCTCCACCAGCGCCTTGACCGTCATCGCCCTCAGCCCCCGAATCCGCATCAACTGCTGCACCCACTCCAAATCCACACCGCTCGGCCGCCCATCCCCACACTCCTTGCGCATGCGCATCAGGGCGGGAAAATCAGAGGCGGTCACGGGCGCAGTGTCCTCGTGCCAGCCGAAATCAGGCTTGCCGGCTATGATGTTGAGGTCTAGGGTGTGCAGCTGGAACCCCAGTGCGCTGTCGTGCTGGCCTGATGGCATAGGAGATGTGAAGGGGGTCGGGTTTGTGAAGGCGTGGGATGCGGCGGCGTGGTGCGAGGCAATGTAGTCGCATAATCGTGCCCATTCCGCACCGTCGACTTCCTGGGTGTACGGCAGTGCTTTCTTGGTGAAGCTGAGGTGGCGGATGTGGCTTCGTGCTATCGGGGTGAGGTCGTTGAGGAAGGGGATTGCGGCTTCGATGCTGGTGTGGAAGGAGAAGTTGTAGGTTGCGTAGAGGATTTTCGAGGCTTCGGCGTGGATTTGCTGGTTGAGGGCGAGGAGGGAGGGGACGGTGTAACGTAGGTGTGCGGTATATGGGGAGAGGAGGACGCGGTAGGTTGTGGGGGTTGAGCTGGCTAGGAAGGGGCCTTTTATTGCAGATTAGCATGTGGATTCATTTTTTCACAGGTATCCCAAGATCGGATCCAAACTTACCACTTCGAATATGATACATACTCCTCCGCCTCCACGCCCTCGACCCCTGGACCCCAAGCCAGGGATCAATCGTCCGCACGCTCAGCGTAAAAGGGTCATTGTTCGTATCTTCCGAGTAATACGTATGGAAATCCGGCACCAGATTGCCAATCGAGATTCCACTGCCCGTCCACGGCGTTGGCGAAGGTAACAGTAGGTACTCGTAGATCATAAACCGGATTTCCAACGGTAGACGCAGAAGCGGCGAAGTTGGCAGGTCACGGCGGCTGTATTCGACAACGTCCATTTCCATTGTCTTGTTCGGTTGGATGGGATGGGATGGCAATATCGATGTAGGCAGGGTAAGAGAGAATGAGTCTGCAAGTACAATGCAAGGTGCGATATTTCTTCCTTGGAAGTACTCCCGAATAAAGTGAGTTGGGCCTGGTACTACCAGTAACGGGCTCGCTGTGTCATCATACCATCAGCTTTCCCCTCTGCAGTCGTGCCACTATGTCAGTCACACCACGATCCTCCAAACCAGAAAAATAACACCTCGTACGGGATCCACACATCCTTTCGACTCGGCCGATGTACCTACGCCAAGATAGGTGGTATCACTCACTCACTCACCCACTCCCTCGCCACAAAACACTCCACCTCACCACACCGCAAACCAACAAAGTAAACCCACCCAAACCAAACCAAACTTGACTTCCGCCGTCGGACGTTGGCATCTTGGTCCCTGGGCCGAAAGAGAGGGGCCGTAGCACCGTGATGGAGTGATGCGAGCGCAGGCCGGAAAAGAGCTATGCTGTGTGTGGGTAAGCGCGGGTGGTGGGGGTCTGGACTTAACGTTAATTTTAGATAGCTACCGGTACGATAGCTGAGCTCAGCTGAGTATGATGATATCCTACCCGCGAATCTACTGTACATGCAACATGAACATGTGCAAAGATTGCGCATAATGGCGTCGGTGTCATGTACTTTGGTACTTGTACTCGGACATGTACAATACAACCCTGCTAGTTGGCCTTATTTCTCCTACCGGTACTTGTAGCCTAGGATGCAACATGATCAGTACATAGTCGCAAGGCCCAACACACCATCACACACCACACACCACCCACATCCCTCCTCCCTCCAAAATACCCTCCCATCCCACAAACACTCCTCCTCCTCCTCCTCCTCCTCCTCACACCCAGATCCAGAATCCCGCCAACTCACATTACACTACACCGTCTACCCACCCACCCACACCCATTCTCCCGACTCCCACAAACCCACCAACCCCATCGGCCCGGCCAAGATAAGACAAAGCCCCAACAAAGTCGCGCACGCACCGCACCGTAATTACCCATCGAGCGGCATTTCGCTGTCCCAGGCTCGCAGACGGAGCATCGGATGTGTGGCTCGTACGAAGTGCGTGAGTCCATGTGAGAGCGTGAGCTTTGCGTGAGCGTGCCTGGGTTGTGTGAGATGATGGTTCGGTGATTTAGCGGTGGGGATGGGGTGTGTTGTGTGTACCTATGACTTGCGTTGGCTTACCTATAAAACGAGTTGGCCGCTGTTGCCTCTCTGTTTTGTGTAGTTTACTGGGCGAGTGCGTGACAAGGGAAATGCGGTGGACAAAGTACCCATTCCCGTAGTATGATGTTGTAAGTACTCACGATGTTGTGCACTGGCGTACATTGGCTATGCATGAGAATTGATAGGGAGAAAATTGAAATTCGTATCGTCTATAGAGGTAGATACCAGGGAGTACGTTCCAGACTTCGACCTGGGTTGGTTGCGTAGCACGTGTGCTTGTTCCTAGTCCGTAGAAGAGGATGACAGAAAAAGGAAAGAAAAAAAAGAACAGAGGAAAACGCCTTGGAAATGCACATCAACCAAACAACCACTTTTCAGCTTCCACCTCGGCGTCACATCTCCCTCTTCACAAAAGAGTAGCACTCTACTCAATCGCCGAAACGCCCTCTCCGTGGGTACTAGGGTTGATAGCCTCGTTGAACTCAAACTTGAACTCGTGCCCCAATTCCTTCTTCATCGCCGCCGTAACCGCCTCGAGCACATTCTTAAACACCCCAAAGCTCGCCGGATTCTCCTCATCATTATCACCACCCTGGAAGACACCGGTGCGCACAAGGCAGGTATTCCAGCCATACATGTTGCCACCGATGATGTCCGAGGCTGGGTTGTCGCCAATCATGTAGACGTTGGACGGGAGCTTGTCGTCGTTGTGAATCGTCTCCATCCACGAAGTGAGCACCTCGTCGGCGTACTTGTAGGTTGCGAGTTCGGGCTTGCCGTAGACGACACGCTCGAGTTCGACGCCGGTGAGGGATTTGTACATGGCTTCGAGGCCGATGCGGAAGGCACCTTGGGACATGCGGGGGAAGGGATGTTCGGTGGGGCAGAGCATGTCGCCTTGGGAGAAGTAGATGGGGATGCGTTGAGAGACGGGGTCCTTGGCCATTGTGCCCAGCCGTCCGTTCTCAGAGCGGAGAAGGTCCATGATGATTTGCATGTCGGTGGCGTAGTCGCGCGAGTCGGAGAAGACCATGATGGCGTCAATGTTGGTCTTGGAAAAGTCGCGGGGACGCGAGGTCTTGCGCTCTTCCTCGGTGAAGACGCGGTAGGGGGCGATGGTTGGGTCCCAGGCAATGATGTCGTTGGGAACAACGATATCTTGGAAGCCATATAGTTCGGCTACCTCGCGGCACTTGTAGCCTTCACCTCCGACAACAAGGACAGTCTTGTAGTATTCTGCGAGTGCACGCATGGGGGTGTGTGATTGAATGAATTGCTCAGTCGAGATGGGGTTGTGCAAGATCTTGGACAGCTGCTCGACACGGGCTTGTTCAGGCTTACCGGAACCGTTGGTGAGGAAGATGTGGGGAATCTTGATGCCGAGCTCATTGTCTCCGTTGAGAATCTCGAGCACGCGCTTGCCTTCAGGGATGAGGCGGTCACCATGGACGAGCACACCGTCAATGTCGAAGACAAAGGCCATGTCCTTTGCTGCGCGGACCTTCTCGCCAGCTAGATCCTGGAGCTGAGCAGCAATAATGTCACGGGATGGCTGGACTGGGGGCATTCCAGGGCGCTGAGCAGCACCGCCAGGGTAGTGGACCGATGACAGGCGAGATTGCCTCTTTGAGCGGGGAATGGGCAATGAGGTTCCAAAGGAGTTCCTCGATCCACGCCTTTCCTTCATGGAGGGTGACATGGAGAGGTTGTGCATGTAGCTCGAAGTGTCTGCGATGGAGCTCCTCGTTGCTGGGACTTCGATCGAGTGAGCGGTACCATCCTCATGAGCATCACCAGGGATAGCCAAAGAGGGTGAGCCAACGTTCATGCTGTTGCTGGCACCAGTGTTCACATCGCGAGTCTGTGTTTGTTGGGTAGGGGCACCGACACTGTCGGCAAGCTCCTTATCGTCAAAAGCAGACATGGTGGAGTGCTGGTAGTAGGAGAGGATGGGTCTCTTTCAAAATGGGGGTATCAAGAACAAGAAAGTAAGTGGTGTGAAGCTTCGCAGAAGCTTACGATGCGATGTAGTATGCGTTAGAGAGGTTGCTGATGTGGTGCTTCTTTCAGGGTCCTGGGGCAGACGCTATATATGATCCAGTCCTCCACTCACCCCAGATGTTATCACAGACACCTGTCCCCAACACTCTGGTAGAATCCTTCAAGGACGGCCCTTCTCAGCCCGAACGAAACCGAAGATTCCACTTTGTGAATTCCAACAAGTACCTCTGTACCCACATTGCGACATCATTACTTACTCGGACCAGGCGGACAGCAGCAGCAGCAGTGGAGAATTCTGGCACACCAGAGAACCGAAACTGGATACCGTCATTGTGCAGGTTTTCCAGAAAACTGGGGCTTGACTTCAACGTGGGAGCTGTCACTCGCCACAGATACAAAGGGACGTGGGCAGATGCTGACTTAGCGTTCCGCCGATCCTATTGAGGATGTTCATGCTCAGCTCAGTACACCAATTCGAGCGCGGCCGGCAGGGTAGCCGATGCAGACCGCCTTTGGGAGGAGAAGACTTTGAAGCGATTGATTGGAGTACGTGGTAGAGTACAAGTCGATAACGAGAAGCGAGATTACTATCGGTATAGCACAGTACTATAGCTGTCGACCTGGTGCCATAATCTGCAAGTCAGGGCCAGGTAGTAACGCGAGACAAGATGGATGGATACCTCTACCAAAATACGACAGACAGTGACGTCGCAGCCAGGCCATTCAAGTGCCTAGGTGACCTTTGTTAGTACAGTTCGCCGACTTTCCGGCTAATCCGTTGTAGAGTAAGATTGGCAATCCAGTCGCTGAACCATTCCAAGGTTAGATGTCCGTTAGCAGAGCCGCACTAGTTTACATTTTTCTCACGGCTTTCCAGTTTTTTTGCACGAGGTCGGCGGCTGGCTTGTCTTGTGCGGCTCTGCAAACCTTCGTCGGTCGGCCCGGCGCAGTGGAGATCACGGATCCACAGGCTACGTCATAGTCCGTCGACGGGACGTGAAAACACAGCAGCCATTGAAAGACTGAAACTGTTGGATGGGGATTTTGTGGATTTTTCTGCAGCGATGGGGCAGGGTCGCTGTACTCTGGAGTACGAGAAGGGTCCAGGTGCGCATTCACCAAG